CCCAGAAAAGGAAATGACATACCCAGGGTCACACAGGAAGTGGCAGAGCCAAGATTCAAACCCAGACCCTTGGGGTCCAAATTCCCCCTCTTCCCACTGTGCTCTGCTGCCATACATAACCACTGATCAAAAAAATGGAAGAACAGAAAGACGTATGGCTCCCATATGGCTCAAGAACTATCACAAGCAATCTATGCTTCCTTTAACAATAGGTCTGATGAAATATGGGACGGAAGGAGAGAGAGCCCTATGAATGGTGCCTTCATTTGGACTTGTGACCACGGCATCATGGGAAAGGAAGCTTGATCACTCAGCACTGGTCCGAGGCCTGCTTCTTGCCAATGGTTTGTACTTTCTGTGAAATACGGGCCAATCACCGAGGCCAAAGGGGTGGTAGGGGGTGTTTGCAACGGGGAGCAAGGCAGCTGGATTCCTGAAATGGTTCTGGCTCCAAAGAGGCAATTATACATACCCCCCATTAGGGAGAGCATCAGCAACCTGGACCCAAGGCCATCTGGAACAGCACGTATGTGATGGACGAACCCACAATGCCTCCACCAAAAAGCACGTTCTCATCAAACGCGCTTGGGGAGTTCATCTCACATCACTCCGGGCCTTGGCCAACTCTGGACTGCAGTCATTTACTAACCACAAACACATGGCAGGGAGAGAAGGAAGAAGAAGCCCTTCCCCTAGGAGCCGGGGGTGGGGAGGGCCCCCCAGGCCAGGCCAGCCAATGGACTGACACCTCCCAGGATGCTGAACAGCCAACGTCAGTGACATGGAGGCCAAAGACTGTGGGGGCTGGAAACTCATCTGCCATACTCACTGGCCATGTGACCCTGGGCAAGGCTTCTCCCTGCTGTGGCCTCAGTTTCCTCATCTCTAAAACAAATGATAGGACTTGATGACCTCTCTGGACTCTGACTGTCTGACCTTGGGCCTAGGAACTCTCGATCTCACAAGTGTGTTCGTGACCTGGACCCCTCAGGGCCTTGGTGAAGTCTATGGACTCCTTCCCAGAGTGCACTTAAAAGCATGCAACCGGATACGCAGGATCACAAAGGAGGTTAGGGGGTCAGCCAAAATAAAGATAGGATTGTTTCCCCAAATTCACAGATCCAACTCCATGAGCCCAGGAGGGAGCATGGGGAGAAAGGAGCAGTCACCAAAGGTGTGGGCCACAGAGAGAATCCCAACCAAGCAAAGGCCACTGGGGCTGGAGGGAGGGAGAGAAAAAAACCAGAAAAGAAAAAAAAAAGAAAAGAGAAATTGAGAGTGAGGAGAGGAGAAGAGAAAGAGGGAGTGGGAGAGGGAGGGAGGGAAGGAGAAGGCCAATGGCCTTGGCCATCAGGGACTCCCTGCTGACCTTGGAGGGAGGAGTTGCAAAATCCCAGTATGGCAGAAACCAAATCTCAGAAGGGAGGGGAAGGAGGGCAGGGTGATGGAGAATGAGAAAGATCCCTCAGCAGTACAAGAAGGGAGCCCTCACCATGAGAAGTCGCTAGTCCCGCCCCACCCTGCCTGGCCACAGTGGGGCACTGACCAGAAGGTCAGTCCAGCCTGATCTTCTCTCTTCCCAGGGGAGCCAAGCTCCCACAGCTAGCAAGTGAGAGAACCAGCATCTGAACTCAGGTCCTTTGCCTCTAAATGCAGCGTTCTTGGCCTTGGCCTCCTGCTGCCACTTCAAATGCCTCGGTCAATAGATGTGATGCCTCAGAGCCTCTGCCCACCGTACCACTCAAGCAGTCAGTGAGCATTTCCTAAGCGCTCAATGTGTACAAGGCACTCAGTCTATCTGCCGCACCTTAGGTGCAAAGAGAAGGAAGAAGTATGGGACAGCGAACAAAGCCAAGACTGGAGGCTGCAGCCATGGTAACAAAGGCACAGGATGCTTGTGAGGCCACGGTAGAGACAAGAGTGCCCCCTCCACATGTTTATAAGCAGCACTGTTGAGATGGTGCTGCGGTGGATAGAACACCAGGCCTGGAGTCAGGAAGACCTAAGCTCAAATGTTACTAGCTGTGTGACTCTGGGCAAGTCACTTTACCCTGTCTGCCTCAGTTTCTTCATCTGTAAAATGAGCTGGAGAAGGCAATGGCCAATCACTCTAGTATCTCTGCCAAGGAAACCCCACATGGGGTCACAGAGCTCTGGACATGACTGAAATGACAATAAAACAACAATCCTGTCACGAAACCTGGCTCAAAGCTCCCAGCACACTGCTATGGGAATTTATAGGAAAACGGTGACAGGTGTTTCAGTGCCCATCCCCTGGCTCAGAGCTAGTGACAGAAGTGCCCAGGACAGTGAAGTCAAAACTTCACTCATCACATCCCTTTGATGGCACAGTTCAACATCTCTCCATGTCTTCTCTTCCCAACGCCTTTTTTGTCCAGCTTCTTCCTTCCTCTAGGTCTTTTAACTTTCTGTGTGCCCTGAGTCCTGGGGTGCTCTGTCTGTCATCCCTCATTCTCCCTGCATGACACTTCCTCGGCCAGTCATCAATTCCCCATGCTATCGTTTGTGGCCAGGCCATCATCAGAGACATGTTTTGGCTGAGTCTGGCCCATTTCCCTAGAGCCCTCTGGATCCTCTGTAAGATGCTGGATACAGTCTAGGGCTGTAGTCAGCCAGGCTTGGAGGAGGGGAGAATAATTGGACACCAAGACTCAGTACTTGTATGAACACCCCTTAACAGAAGAGACATCTTCCAGGTAACTTCATTGTAAATGAACCTATCATCTTCATTTTCATCTTCCATTGGCTTCATTTAAATGGCTAAGATGTGTTCTGCCAGGGGAGAAAAAATGCTTCTGGATAGAATGAAATCACCGTTAAGAATGCAGCAAACCTCTTACAATCGCATGTTTCAAGAAAATCCATAATTCTGATTGAAGTAGCAATGATTGTCCCAAGATTAATAATCCTGTCATAGGCTCAAAATCAGGCCTCAAATAAAGTGGCTTAAAATGGACATGTGATACAGACCCCAAATGTGGTCCTCACGTGGCTTCTTTGGGGTTGGTGAGCCATTTCCACCAAAGAGGAAGTAAGCCCCCAAACTTCACCTCAGGCCCCTCTCCCCCTCTTATATGGACACTTTTCTATCCCGTGCAGGTAACAGCCATTCCCAGGATTACAGCAGCCTCAAAGGACCTACCAAATGATGTCCGTAAAACTAAGCTGCTCCCCCCAAACACTCCTGACACACCTAGAGCTCTGGCAGGCCACAGGCAATTTCCCAGGGCCTCTAGGACATCTCCCTACACTCACTATGTCCCAAATAGAACAGCCCCAGGCCAGCCTCCCCATTTCTGCCAGCAAATAAGCAGCATCCTTCCAGGCTCCCAAGGTTAAGAGCCTTGGCATCACTCAGAATCCATTGTCTTCATCCCCCAGATTTAAACTGTCATGTGCGTGGGTTTCTTCTTCCCAATGCCTCTCCCCTTCAGCCTTTCCTCTCCACTGTCACCTCAATTCAGGGGAAGCTTAGCTGAGGTCCCAGAATTCTGTGATCACCTCTCCCTCCACTACCACAAAAGCCTCCTAGCAATCTCCCTGCCTCCCACTCTCTGCCAGCTCCCCTAGAGGCCACAGGCAAAATGACCTCCAGAAACACCATTTCAGCAGGTTACTCACCTGCTCAAGAACCTACTTACTACGGTTCACCATTACTGACCACAACCACACCCAGTGTGAGAATAGCATACATTTAGATCCATCGATCGAGTTTTAGGGTAAACTTATCTTCCCAACAGCCCTTCAAAGTAGGTAGCATTAAGTATCGTTGCCACATTTCATAGAGTATTAGCGAGTGAGTTTGACTTCAGTTCCTGGCAAAATTCTGAACTCTACTACTACAGGACTAGTTGGTGAGCTTTGGGAGCCAGCTGGGGTCCATCCAGAACAGGTCACGTGGACATCTGTGCCACAGTATAGATCAACAAAGCTGACTGGGGAGGGCAGGTGGGAGGCCCACAGCCTGAGATGCCCCCAACCTGCCTGCACCAGCTAAACCAATTTCTGAATGTTAGGTTCCCAGCCCTGCCTTGCAGCCACTTAGGGGAAAAGTCCACAGTCCACCGGAGAGTTTGCCCGAGGTAGATCATTATCCTGGCGTGGCTGCCCCCTGGGAGAAGACCCCCCAAGGGTTGGTCAGCAGATCCAAAGCTCAGTGCCCCCTCCCCTAGACTGCCACTGCCTTGCACTAGGGATGGATAAGGCAGCATCAAAGCGATCAGAGCACACTCATCTCTCACGCTCACACAGGGCAGCCCCCACTCCCCATCCAAGGAAAGAGGACATGGACAGCCCATTGCTGCCAGCCACCCTGCCTGGCTGCCAGGCCCCACTGACACCTGCTTTCTTTGAAGTGCTTCTGCATCTCCTTCCCCCAAGAGAACAGCAGCAGTGGCTGCTCTCTTTGTCTCTGGGTCCCCCAACACGGCCCGGCACCTGGCCCACAAGAGCCTTTTATGCAATCGGAGCTCACTGACTGACTGGCTGGCAGGTATTTGCATAGCCAAGGACCCAAAGCAAAGTCTCCAACTCAGACTGATACAAATCCCTCAAACTCTAAACCACAGAGAGGAATGGCCAAGATAAAGATTAGTCAAGGAGCCCCCAGGCCTAGGCCAAGGTAACTCACTCAACTAAATAGGTGAAGGCTGAGTCCAAGGGGCTTCCCTAAGCCAAGTCATCTCCAAGGCTCTTCACAACTCTGCTACAGCATGGCAAGGCAGATCAGGGGTACCAGCTGCTACCAAAGGAGACCACATTTGGGGCTCGAAAAAGAAGTCAAAAGAAGGGGGGAAATGGAAGGAAGGAGGAAGGGCTAGTCAAAGAGAGGCAGGCTGCATGGTGCAATGGAAAGATGGCCAGAATTGGACTCTAAGGGCATAGGTTCAAATGCTCAGAGCCAATAGGGGTAAGTTCCCCAAGGCAAAGTCTCAAACTAAGGCCCCTCCCCAGCCTAGCTGTCCCCTCTGCTCACTCACCAGTTTAGCAATGTCCTTCCTAAACTGTGATGCAAACAACAGACTACCAAAACTTCCTCCAGATGGGATGTGACCAGGGCAGAAGACAGCAGGACCTACATGGCCTGCCTAGGCCTTGTCTCTGCAGCAATAAACAAGCAAAATTCAAATCCATCTGGACTGCTGTTGTCCCCTAGGGATTCAACTCAAACCCCCAGACCTTTCAGCTGAAGTGCTAGAGTGGCACCCCCCCCCAATTTCACAAGGTCACAGCTGGGGGTTTTTGAACCCAAATGTAAGACTTTAAATTTATGCCTGTTAGAGTTCATCCTATTAGGCTTGTCCAATGTTCTAGTCAGTCCATGTCGTCTGGGATTTTGTCTGTCATCCTCCCAAATGTTGGCAATTCTTCTTTGCTTGAGGGCCTCTTCAAATGTGATGAGGATGGCATTTATGCCAGGTCACCAATAAAAGTGTTCAACAGCACAAGGCCTAGCACAAATTCCTGGAGAGTTCAGATAATTAACGATGACTCTTTGCACTTCCAAATCCACCTAATTACACCGTCGGCCAGCTCACAGCTCTCCATCTTGCTCACCAGAATGGCACTGGCAACTATCAAATGTACATCATAGCCAGCTGTGCACCACCTGCAACTCTCATGGGCATACCGCCAACTCCTAGATCTAAATCCTGAATGAGAATGTCCAGCCCAGAGCCTGGCATCGATCTCGGGGGCGTTCTGCTGGAGGCCTCCCGTCATGTCGACACTAAACTCTTCCCAGCTCCTCTTTGAGTCTGGCCATCCAAGGAACTCAGAATGCAGCTGATTCTATTATCATCTAATCCCTGCTAAACATCGAGATGAACTTGATTCACAGCATTCCCCTCAGCAACCAGTCTAGCGATCCTGCCAAGGAAGGAAATGACATGTCCTTGAAACAAGCATGGCCCTTGGTGATCATAAATAATAACAACCTTTCTCCATGTTCTCCCGCCGTTCCTTCAATGACAGACTTTAGAAGGGCCGTGGGGCTTGCCTCTGCATGTGCCCAGATCACCTAACGTGGAAGCACCCACCCCGTTCCAGAATTTCCCCAGGAATCCAGATCGTTCTCCCAGGCCTACAGTTTGCCAACTCCATTCTCTTTCCCTTTCCAGAGCCCATCTGCCCTTCTCCCACCCTATGGTATCCTTTCCATGATCACTGGCAGCAGCTCTGGCATCCCACCTGTCAGGACTGGAGGATGGAGTTCATCTGGGTCAGGCGACTTCAAGTCAGCCAGATCAGCCAGATGTGCTCTATCTCTCTACTGATCTTGGGCATCAATTTCGTGTTAGTCACATTTGTGGGGGCCTATTCAATCTCAGGGTCTTCTCCCCAGAATAGCAATCTGAGTGGGGCAGTTCTGCTTTCTCTCCACAGTGAGGCACAATGAGCAGAGAGGGGCCTGAAATCCTTCTCTGAGCCTCTTTTTCCTATGACAGAACTCAAGAAATCCCCCAGCCCCAGCGCTTTCTGTTGCCTGGCCCTGGCTTTCTACGTCAGTCTCAGAGCACTCTCCTTCCGGACCCTATGCCTGAAGGATCACGTACACTTTCCTTTTTCATCCTCTTCTCCACATGGCCCATTAACAGCAGAATAGGGACCAGGCCTGGGACTGTCAACACTCCTGAGTACAGCCCAACCAGAGGAAAAAGGGAGCTCTTACCTGATTTTGAAATACTGAAGCATTCGTTTTTTTTAAAAAAGAAATCTATAAATATGTGGTTTTCTAAGTCAATGTACAGCCTTCCAGGATTCTTATGTATGCTTTAGTAGCCTCCATTTCTATTTGAGTTTGACGCTGAGAGGTTAAATGATCTGACCAGGGTCACATAGTCAGTATGTGTCAGAAGTGAGACTTGAACTCAGGGCTTCCTGCCTTTGAGGTCAGCTCTCTGTCTCCTATGCTACAGTAGCCCCTCTCTCACCTAGCACCTCCTAGGCAAGACTTAACAAATGTTGGCCTCATTAGTGACACGAGTCCATGGCTACGAACGGAGAAAAAATAGAAAGGATGGGCCCTCCCCTTGGGACCAAGACTCACCCACCCCACCAATAAAAAGCCCCAACTATCTGCAACTTTTGGTCTTGGGGCGATAAAGGGGGGGGGGGGTGGGAAGTGCAGAGGCTGGCCCCATCGCACAGGCGGAATGTGTCAGAGGTGCGCTTGGGCCCAGGGCTCTGACGCCAAGGCCAACTCACCTGCTACCACCCCAGGCCACCTCTCCTTAGTAAGAATCATGACATTTCTGTAGCACTGCCAAGCTTGTAAAGTAGTTTAAATAGATCAGCTTGTCCTAGGAGGTAGAGTTCATCCACAGCTTCATCCCCATTTTACAGATGGACAACCTGGGGCTGAGAGGGGTGGACTTCCTGAGCCGGGATCGCCTAGGCAGGAAGTGAATAAGCCAGGCCTGGAGGCCAGACCCTCTAGGTTGCTCCCCGCACCTGATATCTGACAAGAATGCAAAGTAAAAGGGGGAGGCTCCCCAGGTACAGGATCAGACCCCTGAGCAGAAGCCAAAAGCATGCCTGCTGGGATCTGGGCTATCCCATCTGCTGGGGGGCACTTCACCTCCCTTCCTTAGGCTAGCCCAGAGCATGCAGTCCAACCTAGAGTGGGCTCCCCAAGAAAAGTCAAGTCATCCAAGCACCTGGGCTCCAATGCCCAGCTCAGCTGGCAGCCTGCCCAGACAAACATGCCAGTGGGATGGGAGGAAGAAGGGCCCATATCCTCCCCAACTGAAGCATTAGCCACTCTTTCCATTCAGTGGATTTATCCTGGGACAGCCGAGAAAGGGGAGGGAACAAAGCCCTCCTCCAGCCAATTCATCTGAGCAGCCCTCGAACCCTAGCCACCTGAGTTAGAGTACTCATCCAAAGGGGGCATTTCTGGGAGATAAAATATGGGTCTCATCCAGCCAGGATGCCAATCATCCAGAAGGGCCATTTCCTGGTTCAATGGAGCTTTTGTGTGTCCAAGAGAGGCCGTATCTAAGACAGTGTGGGAAAGCTGGCCTCAGGAGATCTGGGTTCAAAGCCCAGCTCTGCCACTTACTGACCTGTATAACCCTTCTTCTCTCTGGGGCCCAGTTTCCTCATGTGGCGAATGAAGATTAGACTTGATGGCTTCTGAGCCCCCATTGCAGCCTTCGTAGACCTAACAGTCTATGCCCTGTCTCTCCCCAGAGTCAGGCAGCAGAGGTGCCCACTGGGTGGCGCTTCAGAGAGCTGCGAGGAGGAGCCCAACTCCTGCAGAGGAGGCCAGTTCCACTGAGTCAGCTCACTGGCAGGAGCTGAAAAAGCCACCTGTATACTTTCTCCCTCCCCCCCAAAGCCAATCCCTTGAGAGTATTAACAATGCTAATAATAATCACTGTGGCCACTTCGAGGGTGCTCTAAGGCCAGCCAAGTACCTCCTTGGCACTTCATAATACTCACGTGAGGTGAGGACTACAGAGTTTGCTGCCCTTATTTTACAGATGAGGAAATTGAGGCTCAGAGAGGTGAAAGTGATTTTCCCAGAGTCACAAAGTTAAGTGAGAGTCAGAGGTGGGAGTCAAACACAGGTCTCACCAGACTCTGTCCAGGCCCTGTGCACAAGGGCGATGCCTGCCAGTAGGTACAGAAGCGTGCTCCTGGGGAGGCATTCGAACTTTTCCCAGAAGATGATGCCGTGAGCATTCGGAGTGGGCACATCCGAAATGTGGGGTGCGTGAAAGAACAAACATATAACAACATGTCAAGCAGGGACGCGGCACAGCAGCGCCCACGTCTGGTGCTCAAGGGCTGGAAGGCATTGGTCCAATCGCTTTTCCTCCCCGGGCCTCAACTTCCTCCTTGCCCACAAAGTGAGGGGTTGGACTAGAGGAACTCGGAGCTCTTTTCCAATTGGCAATCCTCTGGTCCCCTACCTAAGGTGCTGCTCTAGCCTCTCCCCACCCCAGGCCCCCAGGAGCAGAACCACCCAGAACCACCCGGGGTAAAATCCCAACCTCCTGTGCTTTGCAATCCTTCAAGGGCTGCGGCTTGAGGCCCTGCTGTTCCAATTTCCCATAGAGCCAAGGCTACAGGAATCCAGCTCCGGCTGCCTGCACACATCTGGCCCTCTCCTCCCCCAACCCAAGGCTCTTCCTCCCTCTCGAGCCCCCCTCCCTCCGCTGGGCCAGGCCTTCTGCAGCAGGGGCTTGAGGAGCAGAGGCCCCAGCAGCAGCTGGCCGGCCCAGCCAGGGCCCAGCCCAGGGAGAGGAGAGGGGAGAGAAGAAGGGGAGGGGGAAGGGAAGGGAAGGGAGGGGAGAGGAGGAGGAGGAGGAGGAGGGGGAAGCAGAGTAGAGCAGTGGGGGATGTCCTTGGAAGGACGGGCCCTTCAGCAGTCAGGTGCTTTCAAGCCCAGCCCTGCCTCGACTCCACACATGTTTCAAATCTTCCCTTAAAGGTTCCTTCCACACTGCAGGAGGGAGGGTTTCCTCCCAGATGAGCAAACTGAAGATCAGAGACTTGATGCTAAAAGTCAGCAGGGGAGGTGGGGTGCCAGGCCCAACTCTGCCCTCCCTCCCTCCCTGTGTGGCTGTAGGAGTAGATGACCTGGAAGGCATCTGCCAACTCAACTCCAGAGCTCCTATCCTAGGACTCATCATCATGGATTTCTCGGAACTTCTCACTCCAAGCCAACTCAACAACAGTGTGCTGTCCCAGAGCTGCCCATGGCTCTCCTGTCTCCAAGCCGTGGTTCACTGTTCCCCACGCTGGGAACGCCCTCCCTGCCCCCACTCACCTGTGCAATTCCTACCCAGTCTCATAGTAAGTCCAGCTTCAATGCCAGCTTGGGCCCCACCAGTAATGCCCTTCCTCCTCCAAGCCCCCCCCAAACACTTCCTTGGGTGGGTAGCTAATGTTCTGGCCTTGGACTACCAGGTATTACAGTTCTGATGCTTATGACTCACCCCTCCCCATTCTCCTCCCCACTATAGTAGAAACTCCTTGCAGATTGGGATAGAACTGGCCCACCCAGTGCTTTGCACATAGGAAGGTTTGTTCTGAAGGCCACGGCAGCCTAGAGCTGCAGCCCTTGGGGACTCTGCCTACACTCCTCTCAAAAGCAGCGCCACTGGTTCTGAAGAAACCTAACTGGGACCACATGGCTGCTTCCTCAAGAGAATCACTCCAACGCCACCAAGCCCAGCCTCTCCACTCCCTCTTAAGAAATTCCTGGGGGAGGGAACATTTCCACCCCCAAAAATTCCCCCCAAAGACAAGCTCAAGTGTCTTCCAGCTGGAGCTGGATTCTTTTGTTTGCCTGGGGTTGGAGGGGTGCAAAAGTAGAAGCAGGTCGAGCCTTCTGTGCTACTACCAGAGCCCAAGAACCCAGCCAGAGCCACAGGGAATAAGTAGGCGAGCCAAGACAGGGGCCCCACCAAGCAGGAGCAACACAAGGGGGTCAGCTTGGGAAGGGAGAGGGGGCTCATACCACAACGAGGCCATCCCCTCTCCTGCCTCTCCCAGGGTGCATCATCAAGGCCTTTCTCCCATTGCATCACCACCGGCCCCCTCCAGGAACTCATAAAGGGAGCCCAGTGAATTCCAATACTCAGACACTAACTGGCCTTCAATGCATCCAAGCATCACTGGGCCCTGCTGCAGGCCCTCGAGGGAGGAGGCTTATCAAGCCTTTCAGAAAATGGGATGGGGGAACAAAAGCCTCTTGCCCAGCTCCCACTGAGCCTCTACCTTTACAATCTACAGCAATGGAGTCAAACTCTCTAAGAGGGTACAGAAGCCTGAAAAACATGTTCACATTGTCTATGGTCTGCTATAGTTTTATTTATTTTGCTGAATATTCCCAATTACATTTTCATCTGGTTCAGGCTGCCCTCTGAGTCAGATGTCAGGCCCTGCAGGCACGAGACCCTTCTCTAGAAAAGGAGACAGGCTCAGAGAGAAGCCTTTACAACACCAAGTCTAACAGTCTCTTGATTGTATCTGGGTTCTCCCAGCATCCCAACTGTCTGGCCATCCCATGGCCTACTCCTTCTCAAGCCCAGGGGGCAAGGACACAAACTCTCCCTGACTCAAGACCCCTCAAACATCCTGCCTGGACAGAAATCATGGGATAAGAGCTGGAAAGGCCTTCAGAAGGGGAAGTTGAGGCATAACAGGTCAGGTGACTTGCTCAAGGTTATCAGATGCAGTGAGTGACACGGTCAGAATCTGAACCCAGGTCCTCTGAGCTTCTCCAACAGTTGGACAACTGCTACTGCTCTAGAGACCCCAGTGGTCGAGAGAACACTGGACTTATGTTAGAGTCTGAAGGCTGGCATGTAATAGACCAAGGGCACTTAACACAATTCGCTCTCCTAGGTCTACCCCCTTAACCTAGATGGAGAAGGGCTGTTATCATTCCAAACAGATAGAGGGGCTGATGGAGGGAGGTCAGGAGGGACCTGCCATGAAGATCTGGACAAGACCCCGAAATCCAACTAGTCCAGCTCCTCATTTCACAAATGGGGAAACTGAGGTCCTGGGGCTAGAAGCCAGCATACCTCACTTAGCCCAGCACTTCTTAGCCAATACCTTCATTCCCCTGGGGATTTGGCCAGGCAAGTGCTGATTTTTTTTTGGGGGGAGGCTAGGCAACGGGGTTAAATGACTTGCCCAGGGTCACACAGTTAGTGTCAAGTGTCTTAGGCTGAATTTGAACGCAGGTCCTCCCGGCTCCAGGGCCGGTACTCTATCTACTGCATCACCTACCTGCGCCCAAGTGCTGAATTTCTTGACCGCTTCATACATTCTGGATTTTGAAACTTCCTCTCCACCATCACTCCTGATAATGACAGCAGCAGCAAGAATTGATTGAGTCCTTTAAAGGCTGCAGAGGACTTTAGAAGGATTAGATTATCAGAGCCCTAGTGAGGTAAGTACAACAGGTGTTCTCATGCCCATTTTACAGATAAGAAAGCCAACACTCAGAGAGGTTAGGCAATTCATCCAAGGTCACACAGCTGGTAAGTTTCAGAGGCAGGATTCAAACACAGTCAAATTCCAACCCTCTAATCCGTATGGCACGCTTCCTCACTAACTGAACATCCCACATTCTCAAGGCTGGGGCCCTGACTGTGGGACACAGCAGAGCCAGAAATGACATGGGCCCCCTTTCACCCCATCTCTCTCCAGAGCCCACATGTTCTGTCCCACTCCCAGGTTCTCTGCTAGGCCAGGTAAAAGCCTCCTCATCCAGAGAGAGAGAAAGAGAAAGAGGGGGCGGAAGGAGGGAGAGAGAGAGAAGAGAGAGAGAAAGAGAGAGAGAGGAGGGGAGAAGGGAGGGAGAGAGAAGAGAGGGGGAGGGAAGGAGAGAGAGGAGAGATAGAGAAAGAGAGGGGGGAAGGGAGGGAGGGAGAGAGAGAAGAGGGGGAGGGAGAGGGAGAGAAGAGAGAGAGGAGAGAGGGGGAGACAGAGAGAAAGAGAGAGGGGAAAGGAAAGAGAGAGAAGAGAGAGAGAAAGAGGAAGAGAGAGAAAGAGAGGAGAGAGAGAAGAGGGGAGAGAGAGGAGGAGGGAGGAAGAGAGAGAGAGGAAGAGAGAGAGGAGAGAGAGAAAGAGAGAGAGAAGGGAAGAGAGAGACAGAGGGGGAGAGAGAGAGAGAGAGAGAGAGAGAGAGAGAGAGAGAGAGAGAGAGAGAGAGAGAGAGAGAGAGAGAAACAGAGAGAGAAACAGAGGGGGGAAGGAAGGGAGAGAGAGAGGTGGGGAGGGAGGGAGAGAGAGGAGAGAGAGGAAGAGAGAGAAGAAAGAGAGACAGGAAGAGAGAGAGGAGGGAGGGAGAGAGAAGAGAGAAAAGAGATAGAGAGGAGAGATAGAGAGAGAAACAGAGGGGGGAAGAGAGGGAGGGAGACAGAGGTAGGGAGGGAGAGAGAGGAGAGAGAGGAAGAGAGAGAAGAAAGAGAGAGAGAGATGGGGAGGGAGGGAGGGAGAAGAGAGAGAAAAAGAGAGAGAGGAGAGGGAGGGAGAGAGAGGAGGGAGGGAGAGAGAGAAAGGAAAGAGAGAGAGAGAAAGGAAGAGAGAGGAGAGAGAGAAAGAGAGGAGGGAGGGAGAGAGAAGAGAGAGAGGAGAGAAGAAGGAGGAAGAGAGAAGAGAAAGAGAGAGACAGAGAGATAAAGAGAGAGGGACAGACAAAGAGAAAAGAGAGAGAGAAAGAGGGGGCAAGGGAGAGAAAGAGGGGGAAGGGGGGAAAGGAGGGAGAGGGAGGAAGAGAGAGAAGAAGATAGAGAGAGGAGAGAGAAAGAGAGATGGAGGAGGGAGGGGGAAGGGGAGGGATACGGGGGGAAGGGAGGGAGGGAGAGAGAGAAAGAGGAAGAGAGGGAAAGAAAGAGGAAGAGAGAGAGATGCTAGTCTCTGGAGATCAGGAAAACATTAGTACCTCCCTCCACTCAGGAAACTCCCAGTGAAGTGATGGGAACCTTCCAACCCCACCCAGCCTGGCCTTGGGAATGAGGGAGGGAGAAAGGAAGTGTCCTTCACACAGCAGGCCTCACCAATAATCATATTCCAGGGGAAACCTGAATCTTGGGCTGGGCAGCCAGCTGGGGGCCCCCCTGCTTATAGTCTTCTGTGGAGGAGGCAGACCCCAGGTACAAGCCTTTGAGGAAGGTACCTCCCCTCCCTGGCCCCAGGCCTCTCCCCTCCCCTCCCTGGTAGCCAGGTACCTCCAGCATAAAAGG